CCTCATTATACATGAACCCAAATGATGGTCTCAAGAAGCCATACACATTTGGGATCAAATAACCACAGAGATTCTGAAGCAGGCAGGGTGGGCAGGTGGGCTAGGCGTTCATCTGCCTCTTACCATTTTTTTTTTTTTTTTTGAGACAGAGTCTCACTATGTGTTCCTCAGTAGAGTGTTGTAGCATCACAGCTCACAGCAACCTCAGGCTCTTGGGCTTAAGTGATTCTCTTGACTCAGCTTCCCAAGTAGCTGGAACTACAGGCACCTACCATAAGGCCTGGCTATTTTTTTGTTGTGGTGTCATTGTTGTTTAGCTGACCTGGGCTGGGTTTGAACCCGCCAGCTTCAAATGTATGTGGCTGGTGCCGTTTCAACTGTGCTACAGGTGCCGAGCCCTCTCCACCATTCTTCAAGCACTGCTCAGACCTGCTGACTAGACTGGGTCTGCCACAGACCTGGAGCAGAGGAAAGGACAGGGGAGGGGCTGAGCCTAAGGGACCAGGGGCCCTCCTTTCATTTACACAACTTTCAGCGCCCAGGCAGTTTTCAAAGCCTTGTTATTTTACCTGTGGCCCTGTTTCACAGAGCAGGAGTGCTGAGCGGCTGACTGCCCAGCCTTTGGCCAGTGGGCACACTTTACAGACCGCCTGAAACAATTTGCTGGGAATACAGCGACGGGGACCAGCTATTTCCTTCCTTGAAGGCAGTTTGTACAAATGTACAAAGCAACCATACAAAAGGTGCTGGCTCCTGTTAAGAACTAGTTTAACAAAAATTTTTAAACTAGTTAAACTAAAAGTTCCCCACTCTCCCTAAAAGATCCATGTAGATAGGTTGGACTCAGAGAGGATGGAGTTATAAAGAATTTCCCTGCGCCCAACAGCATCCTAAAAGGAACACTCCTGAAGGACTCCTTGGCAAACTCAGTGTCCACCACAGCCCCAGGCCCCCGAAAACGTTACCAAGCTGTGGCTCAGAAGCAGAATCACAGTCAGTGGCCCACAGAGCAAGGCAGATTTTCTCTTCTAATTAGCAAAATGCAGATTTTACATGTGCCCTCACTGCTGTATTGAGAGGATTGATCTTAAAGCACAGGTGACTCTATTTCTTGGTTTGAACCAAATACAGAGGGGTTTTTTAGTAATTAGATGACTTTATTGAAGAGCTCAGGAAACGGTTCAAGGTCAGTGCTGGATCTTCACCAGCCCCTCCCGCCAGTCTACCGCAGGCACGTGAGGATAAAGACGCTGCCTCAGGCTTTCTTCATATTCACATCTGCCTTCTGTTCTTAATAAATTTTTTGTGTTTAGGCTTAGAAATGTTTAAAATAAATACACAATTCAAATATGTTCCAGGCGCGATGGGTTCCTTAAGCATCGTGGCCAGGTTTTACTCACCCCCCTCTATGCTCCCCCCGCACCACACGTTCTCGTCAGTACACGGGGCTCCACCATTGAGGCTAATGGTGGTTTAACCTAAGTGAAAAAAAATTCATGCACACCAAGGAGTACTTTCAGTTTCCTGACAAAACACAAAAGCAAGGAAGAATGATTTGACTCTTTAGTTCCAACCGTTTTCAATTGTTACATAAGGCCAATGCTGTAAATTCTAGTC